CAGGCCACCCCGGAAGCCACTACTGCTCACTCAGGAGAAGCTCAAGCGGGCACTGGGCCCACTCGTTAAGGAGCGGCTGCTGAAGACCCCGGGGCCAGAGGTGGACACCTTGTAGGACTTATGGGTCACCCTGGTGGACATGGTGGAGGCAGGAGTGGAGGTAGGCAGGCTGAACTAGGGAGAGATTCCAGAAGGAGCGGAGAAGCTGCTTCTCAACACTACTGATGTTCTAGCACAGTCTCTTCTGGTTCTTTTTCTGTACAATGTTTTCTATGAAGATGAACTTACACTGAAATACTTTTTAGTATACCTTTTATTTTATAAATTTAACATACATCATACACATTTTCCCATGTCCTTAAAATTTGCTGTAAATATAGTTTAAATGGTTGTATAGTATTTCTTCATGGACATGCCATTTATTTAATAATTCTCATTATTGCATATTTAAATTGCTTCCATTTTTTCATTGTTATAACTTTTCAATAAATATTTGTGCATTAGTCTTTGTTTATGGGTTTAACTATGTCCTTAGGCTACAAGGCTATGTCCCTTGATTTAATTTTTTAAATCAAGGGGCAAGCCTTGATCTTTGCAATTCACGTATTCAAAAGTATTCACTGAGCATTCACTAAGTACCACGTACCTTTTCCCTAGACACGTATTATTCGTCTTTGTTTTGTTTTTCTGATTGTCAAAGTCATCACATAGAAAATTTGGAATATATATGTGTTTTTCAAAAAGGAAAAGGCAGTAAAAATGAAGCATCAGTGAATTCAGCTATTTTCTGTGTTCAGTTTGTAGGATCTAAGCCCGAAAAAGAAAACTCCAAATTGAAGAACTTTTGCTGGGCATTTAAAAATTTGGACCTTGCTTAAGCAAGACACACTATGCAAGGAAAGTTACACACACACACACACACACACACACACACAAATTTGCACCATACTTACCATGGTGGCTCACACCTATAATCCCAGCACATTGAGAGGCCAAGGCAGGTGTATCACTTGAGGTCAGGAGTTTGAGACCAGCCTGGCAAACAGGATGAAATCCTGTCTCTACTAAAAATACAAAAATTAGCTGAACTTGGCGGCACGTGCCTGTAATCCCAGCTACTCTGGAGGCTGAGGCATGAGAATCGCTTGAACCGAGGAGGCAGAGGTTGCAGTGAGCTGAGATTGCACCACCGCACTGCAGCGTGGGTAACAGAATGAGTCTCTATCTCAGAAAAGCAAATAAATTTAAAAATTTTAAAAAGTAGGCCAGGCACAGTGGCTCATTTCTATAATCCCAGCACTTTGGGAGGCCGAGTTGGGGGGATCACCTGAGGTTGGGAGTTCAAGACCATCCTGGCCAATGTAGTGACACCTTGTTTCTACTAAAAATACAACAAATTAGCTGGGTATGGTGGTGGGCACCTATAATCCCAGCTACTTAGGAGGCTGAGGCAGGAGAATTGCTTGAACCCAGCAGTCAGAGGTTGCGGTGAGCTGAGATCATGCCATTGTATTCCAGCCTGGGCAACAAGAACAAAACTCCATCTCAAAAAAAAAAAAGAAGTAATAATTTGCAAAGCAAGTTTGCTGGATGGGACAAAAGTGAGGGAGTGTTAGTTTCTTTCACTTGATCTTTAGAATGTATCTGCACCAAATCGGTAAGGTGAGTCAAATTACCACCTTCCCAGACTTGCTTCCTGTTATAATTCTATATTTGGTGGCAATTTTTGTAACAACATTCAAAAACTATGTTGGTTTACCAAAATGTCTAATAACTAAAACATACACATTTCAGAGCTGTGTTTACAAACTCCAACTCTTTGTTACTTACTTCAGCTAAAAGAAACAACACTAACTCTGTTCATACAAACCAAATTTACTCACAGCAAATTTAAAAACTAAATTTAAAAACAATTAAGTTGAACTTATATCAAATAGGCCAATTGATTTCTATTCTTAAACACAGAGGTAGGTAGACTATTTTATGTCTGTTCAGATTCTGCCATAGCAGAGAAAATGATTTAAAAGTCATAGTGCTGGCTGGGCGTGGTGGCTCATGCCTGTAATCCCAGCACTTTGGGAGGCCGAGGCCCAGATGGGTGGATCACCTGAGGTCAGTAGCTCAAGACCAGCCCAGCCAACATGGTGAAACCCCATCTCTACTAAAAATACAAAATTAGCCAGGCATGGTGGTGCATGCCTGTAATCCTACCTACTCGGAAGGCCGAGGCAGGTAATCACTTGAATCCAGCAGGTGGAGGTTGCAGTGAGCCAAGATCACGCCATTGCACTCCATCCTGGGCAATAAGGGTAAAACTTCGTCTCAAAACCAAAAATAATAAGTAAATAAATAAATAAATGTCATAATGCTAAAACCTAGAAATAAGGCAGAAGGTTATAGATAGAGCAGGGTTGATAAATCAAGGGACAATAGTTCCTGTTATTAAATTCTCTGCTGCAGTGCTCAGTTCTCCTAGCATACAGCTCTAACCACAGGGCCACTGTTCATCGTTGTTTGTGCGCTGAATAATCCCAGGGGGCGCCATTCACAGCAAGCCCTGGCAGAGGACTCAAGCATTGCAATTCAGTGATGCAACAGGCTGAGATGACTTTAGAAAGAAGAAATGACAATAGTTTATTATATGAAGGGATATATTTCTGAAGAAACAAAGAAAAGTGACAACTGTGTAGACAGTTCATAAAAATGAAACATCTTTTTTGCAGGGGAAGTGTCTCTTGCCTTGTGCACCAGGCTAGGCTGGCACCATCTCCAAATTTTTGAAAGTACACTGCAAAAAGCTGAGGCTGTGAGTGTCCATCAAAAAGTAATTTGGAGAAATAGAAATCTATGAAATTTAAGAAAGTAGAAATTACTGCAACTTAGTGCCTAAATAATCCCTTAAACAATGTTCAGTGGTGAGGAAGAGGAAACACAAAATGAATAACAGGAAAACTACAAGCTGGTCTTCACTTTGCAAGATAGTTTTTCTCTTGTGCTTCCACTCCTAGCTACTACTGGAGCCTTTTCACACCATTGGCCTAAATAAATAACTAAAACAATGTTTCTAATCTACAGACAAGGTTTTGTTATGTTGCCTAGGCTGGATTCTAACTCCTAACTCCCGAACTCCAGGGATCCTTCTGCCTCAGCCTCCTAAGCAGCTGGCCCTGTAGGTGTGGGCCACTGCTCCCAGGAAACAATTAAAAAATATGAGAAACCATGAGGATAGATCCTGACCCTGTGTCTTCCAGCCTGGGCAAACGCAATAAAGAGTTGGGTTGGATGCGACCAGGACTGATGGATATCTTCCAAGGCTGCTTTCTGAAGACGACAGCTTCCCCTACCCATCTTTAATCTTTTTCTAGGGCCAGAACCCTAGAAGATCCAAAGAGACAAAGGAAGAGGATCATCTAGCTCTCCACTCCCGTGTCTGCGTCTAACGTGTGTGGCGCATTGTGTTTGCGGGCATTTCTTCTGTTTCGTGACCTGATTAATTAAATTCTCACCGTGTATATGCTTTTCCTTTGGAGTCACAGTGCATCTTTAGAAGCCATACCAACTTTTCCTGTGCAGTAAGGTGGGAACAGGAAGAGCCTGGGAATCAGGCAAAACCAGATTTTAAATCCTAGCTCTAAACTCTGGGCAAGTGACCCTTACCTTACTTTCTTTGTCTGAGAAATGGGGAAAACCATGAGCTCCTTATGAAGAAATAATTTAACAGCTGAAGATCTTTTGAGACAGTGCTTGGCATGCAAAAGTCTCAAAGCAAATGTAATTAGTGTTGAATAGCCATTTAGAGAGGAGCCAGACTTGGAGTCAGACTGCCAGAGCTTGAGTATGCTGGCTCTGTCACTTACAGCTATGTGACCTTGGGTGGGTCACTTCAACTCTGTTTCCTTATTCCTTAAGATGAGAATAATGAGAGTACTGCTTTGTGGGGAGTTGTGAGGAATGAATGAGATAATACACATACAGCACCAAGAACAGTGCCTGGCACATGGTAAATTCAATAAAAATCTTAGCTATTATGATCCGTAGGCTATGAAGGAAAAAATTATTTCCCCTATCTCATAAACTTGTTGGGAGGTTTATATGAGACAACCTATAAAAGTACTTAACGGCCAAGCAGGGTGGCTCACGCCTGTAATTCCAGAACCCTGGGAGATGGAGGGGGGCAGATTGCTTGAATCCAGGAATTTGAGGACAGCCTGGTCAGCAAAGTGAGACCCTATCTCCACAAAAAGTAAAAATTTAAAAAATGTTTTAAAGTGCTCAGCAGAGCTCTCAGCTCATATTAAGTCCTCAAACTTAGGTATTAACTTGTTGATTATTATTCTATGATTATTAGCTTTTCACTATATTGAAAAGTTCTGTAGTATAAGACAGATTTCTTTATTTCTATCAATAATTATATAGTAGTAATTAATTAGATACTATCACTGGTTATAAAGTCAGCATTTTCACACACGGCTGATAAAAAAATGTGAATTGAAAAGAGCTACGCTAATTAAAGAAAGCACAAAATTTTTAGCCTTTTTCCTACTTTACTACTTTCTAACTCTTTATAATACATATTTTCTGAGTTTTCTGCATTTTGTCATATAAGTTCGTTAAAGATACTTTGATTTCCTTCAAAGTAATTTGAGTCAGTCCCTTGGTATTCAGCTAAATTGAACTCCGGTATTTTGGAACAGTATCTGTTGACACAAATATATTTGGCATCACTGGGGAATTTAAAACTACATACAGATAGCGTCATGATCCTTCAAACTTAAGGTGACAGTACTATTACAGAGGACAAGTGTTGCTAAAAAATTTTATGTTGTCATTTCTGTACTGATCATATATGGGCATTCTAGTTTCTGGTTAGCAGTGGCAGTTACAAAGACTAAACTATAGTTTTGCAAACATTCTTCACAAGGTATATTAGAACTGCTCAAGAAAGTAAGCATGGGAATCTGGCAAGATACACAGCGAGACACGTGCAACCTTTCACTCACCTTCTCTCTGATCCTCAGGTTGACTGCACGGGGTGAAAACCAGTACCCTTGCTCACTTCAGAGTGGAGGCACATCCCATTCTCACCAGCCTGGAAGATAAGAGCTCATGCTAGAGATTTTGTTTGGGTTCTGCTTTGATATTTCTAGTCGGGGAAATTCCCTGATGGCTAAATTAAACGAAAAATCTAAGAATTCAGAAACTGACAGGCCCAGAAAGAATATCTGTGGCTCTGAATCTTCCGCAACAACGTTTTGTTTTTCTAAGTAAAGAAGTAATCTGAGGAGGCTCTCAGGGCTGAATGACCAGACTTTGTCACCTTGCCTTGGTTTCAGGTTTTCATAGGGCTTTCAGAGGTCAAGAGAGGCGTTGGCTGCTTCCATGTTAGACAAAAACCAAAAAGAAGAAGAAGAAGATATGCCAAAATAGGGTTACAAGATTTGTGGTGTATTTTAAACATCAATATTTAACAAGTAAGCAATTCCAACACCCACATACACACATACGTTCAGTTCAATATAATTATTCTATTCCCAAAGTGACTGGGGAGTTATTAGGGGATTTATTTAAAATATTGATTTATGGTTCACACGAGTGATGAGACAGTAATGAGACAGAGAGCGAAAGCTGGTCAGTAAGGAGACCGAGAGCTAAAGTTGGTTGATGCTGTCTTCTTTCTTCAAACCTGCCAGTGCTTCTCTGTGACTATGGGTGTGACCTGGTGGTCCTGAAGCCCTTGATAGTAGTGATGCCCAGGGCTAGTGGCCTCCCGATGTCCCCTTTTCAGTCTTCAGGGGGTTTGCACTTGAAAATGTTCAGCTTATATAGACAGGCACCTCTGCCTATCTTTCCTTTCCATTTCCTTCCTTCCTTCCTTCCTTCCTTCCTTCCTTCCTTCCTTCCTTCCTTCCTTCCTTCCATCATTCCTTCTTTATTTCTATCTTTCTCTTTCTTCTTTCTTTTTTTTTTTTTGATGGAGTCTCACTCTGTCACCAAGGCTGGAGTTCAATGGCCTGGTCTTGGCTCACTGCAACCTCCACCTCCCAGGTTCAAGCAATTCTTTCACCTCGGCCTCCCAAGTAGCTGGGACTACAGATGTACGCCACCACATCTGGCTAATTTTTGTATTTTTAGTAGAGACAGGGTTTCATAATGTTGGCCAGGCTTCTATCTTTTTTTTTTGAGACAGAGTCTCGCTCTGTTGCCAGGCTGAAGTGCAGTGGTACAATCTTGGCTCACTGTAACCTCCCACTCCCTGGTTCAAGGGCTTCTCCTGCCTCAGCCTCCCAAGTAACTGGGATTACAGGCATGAGCCACCACTCCCAGCTAATTTTTTTATTTTGTATTTTTAGTAGAGATGGGGTTTCACCATGTTGGCCAGGCTGGTCTTCATCTCCTGACCTCAATCCACCCTCCTTGGCCTCCCAAAGTGCTGGGATTACAGGCATGAGCCACCGTGCCTGGCCTTTTATCTTTTCTTTTTTTAGGCAGGATCTTGCTCCATTGCCCAGGCTAGAGTGCAGTGGCACGATCATCATCTACTGCAGCTTCGACCTCCAGGGCTCAAACGATCCTCCCACCTCAGCCTCTCCAAGTGCTGGCATTACAGGTGTGGACCACTATGCCCAGCCCTACCTATCTTTTTAATGTCAACTTTCTTCTGTGGTCAGGTGAGCAGACAGGCCCAAGAACTGGGGCTCTTACTCATGGCACTCTTTGTTTTATATTATCTTTTTCTAATTCACGTGCCCTGAGTTTGATCCCTTGTTTTTGTTGAATAACTGTCAAAAGCAGCCTAGTGTGGAAGGACAAGTATATGTAGATGGAGTCAATTGGCCTCGTGGTGGGCAGTTTAGGGGAGGATGTGGGGAGACTTTGACCAGAAGGAAACAAAAATAAGCACGTACACCCTGTATTAGTCAGGGTTCTCTAAAGGGACACAACTAATAGGATAAATGAATATATGAAGGATAGTTTATTAGGAGAATTGACTCACATGATCACAAGGTGAAGTTCCATTATGGGCTGTCTGCAAGCTGAGGAGCTGAGAAGTCAGTCCAAGTCCCAAAACCTCAAAAGTAGGGAAGCTGATGATACCGCCTTCAGTCTGTGACAAAAAGCCTGAGAGCCCCTGGCAAATCACTGGTGTAAGTCCAAGAGTTCAAAAGCTGAAGGACTCGGAGTCTGATCTTGAAAGGCAAGATGCATCCAGCATGGGAGAAAGATAGAGGCTGGAAGACTCAGCCAGTCTGCTCTTTCCATGCCTGCTTTTATGCTGGCAGCTGATTAGATGGTGTCCACCCAAACTGAGGGTGTGTCTGCCTCTCCCAGTCCACTGACTCAAATGTTGATCTCCTTTGGCAGCACCCTCACAGACACACCTAGGAACAATACTTTGCATCCTTCAATCCAATCAAGTTGACACTCAGTATTAACCATCACACATCCTTAAAGGAAGCTATAGATGCAGGCTCTTTCCATAAGAGTAGACCACTGAGTAGTGTAAAAGGGATCTTGAGACTTCTTATCTCAAAGTCTCCCAGGCTGGACCTTGTGGCACATGCCTGTAGTCCCAGCACTCTGGTAGGCCAAGGTGGGTGGATCACTTGAGGTCGGGAGTTCGAGACTACCCTGACCAACATGGAGAAACCTCATTTCTACTAAAAATACAAAATTAGCCAGGCGTGGTGGCTCATGCCTGTAATCCCAGCTACTCGTAAGGCTGAGGCAGGAGAATTACTTGAACCTGGGAGGGGGAGGTTGTGGAGAGCCGAGATCGCACTGTTGCACTCCAGCTTGGGCAACAAGAGCAAAACTCCATCTTAAAAGAAAAAAAGTCTCCCAAGAGGATCCTGCCTGTCAAAGTTTGGGCCAACTCTGAGCTGTGTTATTTCCCACAAAGCCATTACTGCTGACTTGATGGCGGTTAGAAACTGGGCAGTGCACCATGACTTTTCTCCAAACCCTGAGTGGCAAAGATAGTTCATATCCCTGAAGTTTTGTTTGCAGATTTCAGAGGAGGGTTACATTTCTGCATTCCCTAAGGGGAAGCCTGGAATGTGAGAGTAGGGGTCCGGGAGGAAACAGTGAATGAGGGCTGGAATCCTGGCAGATGGCAGTTGCTACCAGTGAGCCAGAAAGGCCTGAGGATAAGGAGCCTGGGTGTGCAACACAGGACAGGGAACAGATGTAGGAGGGGAAAGGCAGAGCAACTGGTTGGCCTTAAAGAGTGAGGAGAGAGGTCCCGCTGAATGACCCTGCAGAGAGGACTCATGAACAAATCAGGCTAATTTAAGATGACGGATTATCCAGTTTATCAGATCGGGGAGTAGGATGGCCAAGTGGAATGGCAGGAATACAAAGAAGGATTTGGACTTGGGGTCAGTGCCTTAGAAGTGCCTCCTTCTGTCTCTTGCTCCAAACCTTAAAGCTGCGCTACTAAATAATTAATATGAGGGTTACAAACTTTTTGATATATGTAGTCTGGGCTTCATGCAGAAGTCAAGGAGCCCCTATAAATACATCAGTTCCAGTGGCTCTCCAGTGGCTTCCCATTACCCCCAGAATATACTTTAAAGTCCTTTCCACTGCCTGCAGACACTTTAGGACCTAGTGGTACCTTGCTACCTCTTCTAACCACATCTTCTATTCTTCCCCAGCCACCCTTCTAGGTACGTGGCCCCTTGGGTTTCCTCTAGGGCTCCATGTTTGGGCTGTTCCCCAAATACACATAGAGCTTGTACCCTCTCACTTCATCCAGGCCACTTTCTATGCCCCTTATTAGTCTGCTTGGGCTGCTATAACAGAGTACCACAGATGGGTGACTTAAACAACTGGAACTGATTTTCTCACAGTTCTGGAAGCTAGAGGTCTGGGATCAAGGTGCTGGCAGGATTGGCTTCCTCTGAGGGCTGTGAGGAAGGGATCTGTTCCAGGCTTCTCTCCTTGGCTTGTAGATGACCATTCCCTCCCTGTGTCTTCATACGGCTTCCCCTCCACTTGCCTATGTCCAAACTTACTCTTCTGTTTTTTGTTTTTGTTTTATTTTTTTTGAGATGGAGTTCTGCTCTTGTTTGCCCAGGTTGGAGTGCAATGGTGCGATCTCGGCTCACTGCAATCTCTGCCTCCCGGTTTCAAGCGATTCTCCTGCCTCAGCCTCCCAAGTAGCTGGAATTACAGGCATGCATCACCACATCTGGCTAATTTTTTTTGTATTTTTCATAGAGACAGGGTTTCTCCATGTTGGTCAGGCTGGTCTCAAATTCCCGACCTCAGGTGATCCTCCAGCCTTGGCCTCCCAAAGTGCTGGGATTACAGGCGTGAGCCACTGCATCCAGCCAACTTCCTCTTCTTACAGGGACACCACACACCATTTCTGGATGAGGACCTGCCCTAATAATCTCATTTTAAATTTATTACCTCTGTAAAAATCCTGTTTCCAAATATGGTCATATTCTGAGGTACTGGGAGTTAGAAAGGGATACAAAATTCAGATTATAACAGCCCCTTATTGGAGAAGACTCCCCAACCATTCTTTATAAAATAATACCCTTATTAACCCAACATATTTATTCATTTAGTTTTTTTCAAGGTCTCCTTCTACTTAAATGTCAACCCCAGAGCACCGAATTCTTTATGAACTGTTGTATCTCCAGTGCCTAGCTCCCTGCCTGGAGAGTAACAGACCCTTGATAAATATTCAGGAATGGATGAACACATAGGAAGCCATTACAAACTACTCCGCAGAAAAGCAATGACAGAGAAAGATGTTCAAGTATATTGTCAAGTGAAGAAAGAAAATTACAAAAACCTCTTGGGTAACATAGTTCCATTTGAAAAGCATGTACATATTATTTATTTGTATTCAAATAAAGCTTAGAGGCCCGGCAAGTGGATCACCTGAGGTCATGAGTTTGAGACCAGCCTGACCAACCCGGTTTCTATTAAAAATACAAAATTAGCTGGGTGTGGTGGCACATGCCTGTAATCCTAGCTACTTGGGAGGCTGAGGCAAGAAAATCACTTGAACCTGAGGGGTAGAGATGGCAGTGAGCCGAGGTCACGCCACTGCACTCCAGCCTGGGTGACCGAGAAAGACTCCATCTGGAAAAAATAAATGATAAAAATAAAAAAAGCTTACAGAAATATGCAACAAATTACTAATAGCAAATGGCTTTTATTTTTATTTTTTGAGACAGAGTCTTGCTCTGTCACCTAGGGTGGAGTGCAGTGGCACAATCTCAGCTCACTGCAACCTCTGCCTCCTGGGTTCAAACAGTTCTCC